GCGGCGCACGTCCGTCGCGTGTCGCAGCTGGCGCGATACTGCAATACTACAATGCAATAGCTAGCCGGGGCCGTGCAATGCCAGCGCCGCGCCGCGCCTCGCATCGACAATATAGTCATATTTACAATAAATAAATAAATAAATAAATAGATTTATCTATATTCATTTAACGCATATATAATATTCGTGTTGAACATTTTATTGCAATATGTTTGTTTTTGTCGTGTTGGCAGGTAATGGTTTGAGAGCCGCTTAGCGGTGCACGTTGTTGTTAAGATGTATAAGTAAAGAGTACGATTGTGATATCTCCTATCACGGAAAATTCCTATTCCATTACATTTTTATTTTTGTATATTATTCACCAATTACATTTCGGTTGCGTTTTATTTCATTGTATATGTTACCATTGTTAAGTTATTATTTTTTTAATGTTCATAATTTTGTCGTTATATCGACGTATGGGAAATTAAATTTATTCAAAAATATGAATTGTTCAAAAATGCTGATTAATCGTACGGCTTAGTAAAATGTGTTTTAATCAGCGCAAGGGGATTTAGGAACCAAATAATTATCCTAACCAAAGCTGGTAATTTTAATTTTTGACAAATAAAAAACAACAGACGACATATTTTATTTAATATAATATGGTTGGCATAATATTATTTTTATTTTTGACATTATCTTTTTGAATGTATTAAGAGAGTTTTTATTTCATTCCTAATTTCTCGCGATGATAGATCTTTATTTTTTATACATTTATAATGTTGTGTTAATTCTGTTAAGAAAGTTCATTTGTTGTCGGTCTAAATTTGTCTTTAAACTGTAAGTACAATATAAATGTAACAATATATGCGTGTCCATATACTAGAGAGGTATATATTTTAAAGGTTTTAATGCAGATTTCTATATATTATTCAAGATGACAATATGAAATATTCTTATTTACAGTTACGTACTAATTGAAACGTTATATTTTAATGCGCCATCGTTTAATGCAAGACGTTCGTTTTCGTCACCGTAGGAAGGTAATAAAAGCTGTGATTGTTTTTCGACATTGTCAAGGTACTTCGTGTCAGTTTATATATGTAGTTCCGAGGCCACGGCTGTGGTCAGTCCGCGGGTGTAGTTTTAGTTGAGTTTACCTCAGAAGTGCCATCTAACTAGTGCAGTTTAGGCTCGTGTTTATTCCTTGCCTCTTTAAACGCCCCGCGTTGGGCGACATCTTGTCTTTCAAATGAAGCAATAGTACACGATGTGAATTCCTAAGCGGTGTATACTTATGTCATAAAGGAATGAAGTACAAATTGAAAACATAATAAAGATATATTTGAACCGGCGTAAAATAGATGTTAGTGTATAAGATGAGGAATTGAGAGCGTGTTTTCGGCTTATAGCGCGGCGAGGCGCCAGCGTCCGCCGCGGCCCGCCCTAGCTGGCCGTCTTCGTGTGTTGACACGCTGCGTAGACGCATTAATGTAGCTAGTTTATAGTATATTCAATCTTTAATAAAAAAAATGTGTAAAATAGGTTTAAATCTATTCCACCACTCTGGTGTTTTTTCGACTATTTCATCTATGTCTGTGTATTTTTTCGGGGGTAGTTCAGATATCGTATCGTGTCAATTAAAACGTGGTATGACATGCTCGCGACTGTGACGTAAAGATGGCGGCGATGACGCCACACTCACGTGTAGCGCTACAACAGTCACAAATTGGACACTTTTAGTAACACGTTAGTGTGGCAACATCCGCTAAGTATTGGGAAATCTCAAATAGTTGAGAATTTTAAAAATTGGAATGGTCAAAGCGGTAAAAGTGGTCGCAAGCGTGAAGTAAACGTACAGCGCGCCTCGCGGAGGCTTCCCGGCGCAGCTGTCGGGGGCATGTCGATTTTATAAGCTCAATTTTATTGAAATAAAAATCTCGGATAGTCGGTACGTGTAAGTGAATACGTCAATTATTGGAAACTATTTGTGTTTAGCTATCCGACTCCTTACCCTTGCCATTCTATCTTCTTATACTTGTTATAACCGTTTTGTTTGGTCTCTTTTCTGTCATTTCGAAAAAAAGACAATCTTTATATCAAAATTTAAATTACATTGTTTCCTTAAACGAATGAAGTAATTAAGTCACATCAGTTTATTGTTAAGTACAATTTTACCATACGAAAGTTACCGTTATATTTGACAGTTTATACTTAGTAGTCGGGCGAGCCCTGTGGGTAGTTGTAACTTCCAATCCTCTGTATTTCTCTTTGTCCTCTTGCCTCGTTATCGAAATGTTCTTTACAATGTTTCTGTCTTCACGAAGACATTCCAGCTAGTGTAGATGCGAACCACGTCGTGTCTTACCGCACATGCGCTTTGTCTTTATTAGAATTAATATAGCCATAGGCGACAGTTTAAGGGGATATTTAGTCGTTCATCATAGATTATATAAAAGTTTTGAAACCACAGTTACCTTTTTAGCATCTCGCTAGCGTTTGTTGTGAAGGAACAATGTAAAGAACATTTCAATTTCGTGATAGTTATTCGATGAAATTCTAGTTGTTGTATTTAATTATTATTAACGATACATTGGGTATATATAGGCAATTACTGATGAAAATGTTAAAAGTTGTTATACCGAAGTTGTTACAATATTTGAGAGTATATTATTATCGTCGATACAAATTATTGAATTTTCTTAGTGTAACATTATCTGAGAAATAGTTATGGGTTTGTTGACGTGTGGAATGATAATAAATAGATGATTTGTCGTCCCGGAGGTAACGCGACACGCGAGCACGTGCAGAGCGACAGGTGGCTTGATGTACTGTTCTGTGATACTGACTGTTACGCTACCTAGCACGTCGGTCCGGCCTACGCTGTGTCCCGCCCCCGCCCCGACCCGCCCCGCCCCTCGCCCCGCCCACTGCCCCGCCTTGCCAACCCTCACGTGTCAATACTGTACACGACACTATACAAAGTACATAAATATCAAGCTATAAATAATTTTAAACATAACAAAAGTAAAAGGTTGTGCATAATAAAACAATAAGTTATGTACAGTATTGAAACAATTTTGTGCATTATTTTCTGATGATTATGAAAATTTTGGTCCTATGGAGTCGGAGATAATTTTAAGACGAAAGGATGAGAGCGTTTCGCTATCAAGTAACATCGAGGAAAGTTAAATGTTATTTAGCGAGCAATCGATTGGTATAGTGCGAGAACGCAGCTGACCCTCCCCCCAGCCCACTCCCCCGCTGCACCACGTCACCATCACCCCTCCCACGGCGCGTCAGTCCGCAAATCAGATTTATTTTAGCGCAGTTATCGAGTAAGTAATTTTGATGTCGTAGGCTAAGGTAGCTAGTTATTACTCTTCATGATACAATGTAATTGAGGTACGAAGTGGACACGTCGAGCCGGGATGGGCGACGTCTCATCACCTCCTTTTTAATTTTAATAGCTAAATGTTGTTGAATTTGTTGATAGAGTGGTTTATTGTAATTACTATAGGTAGTTTAGTGGGTATACAAGAGACGGTTGCCGCCATCGGGCGCTAGGGTTAGACTAAGGTCCGATACTGTGTATTGGGAAATGGCTGTGCGTTGCAAGTGTAAGTCGACGTCTGCCGCCGCCCCGCCCCGCCGCCCCACACGCCCCGCCCCGCCCCGCGCTATCTGTATATAATTGCATAACATTATTTCATTTACGTTATCCTCCTTGCTCATTGTCATCAATTTATTAAAGACTGAGGAATCAACTCGCGCATGACATCGTCACGAACGCGTCCCCAACACTAGGGGAGTATTTGTAATATATAATTGTTTATTGTCATTAAATTTTAAAAAATTGTATCGGTCGGTCGGGGGCGGAGTCGCCGCCGCTGGGGGCGGGGCGGCGGGCGGCGGGAGGCGCGGCGCGCGGCGCGCTGTCGCTCAGTCGTTGTCTCACCAACCTTTACACATGTTGAGATTGATATGTTATACTAATTCTATTGAATTGTAACTTGTTGCGTAATATAAGTGTACAGACAGGCACCGGCTCCCTCAGTTATGTTGACGACCGATTTGTTGATACGCGGTTACATTCATTGATTTATTCATATTTTATTATTGATATATTATTTTGTTAACTTTGTTTAACTATAACGGGTCTGCTGATGTTATGTACGAAAATAAATATATTAGTTTCTATTTCTTTGAATTCTGAATTCGCTAAATTTTAGCCAACGTTGATTATTTAGTGTTAATGAAATTTCAATAATTTTGTTCCAATGTTTGTTTTGCTATTGTAAAAGATAAGAGGTAAAATGAAGGTAACATGTCTTAGTGGATAAAGCTCGAAAACCAATAAAAGGTACCTTGAACATTGTCTATAATTATATTAACAATAAATAAATGCAAAATGAGAGAGTTGTTTTATTTTTTCACCTTTCACCATAACATTAACTTCTTAACTTGGAAGTCTCAAAAAATACCACAAAGATTAGACTAATTGTAATTGCATGAAGTATTTATCTCTTTATAATATTCATGATGAATATTTCTAAATGATAGTTATTTCTAGATTAAAATTGAAATAAAACAAAATAGTAGAATTAAAAAATATATATATATTAATGCCTGCAGTGTAAATACTGAAAATTAGTCGAGATTCATACAAAAATACATCATTCTGGACGGAATGAAAACATTTAAAATATAGTAAAAATAAAATCAAAACAACAAACACAATCACAAAGTAGATGGAATGAATCATAAAAATTGAGATTAACATATTTCTAAATTATATAATAAAGACCTTATTAACTAAAAAGTTACTTTTGCGTTATATACGATTGTACATAAGGTGTTTCTACAAACTACGAGACTTGACATTTAAGTACATATCATTGCAACAGCAAAAGCAATAGCTTTTACTAGCTTAATACTTCTAGTATTGATGTAATGCATTATTGACTAAGCATTAATAAAATAGTTTTAATTACATTTTTTTAATTCCCTATAGCTTAAAATACTTTTCACAAAGATGTCAAATTGAAAAATAAAGTTTGTTTTTTAATTTCATGGTACAGTACGTTTCAAATATCTTAGCGGTTCGGAATATCGTACAAGTCACTGTAAAACTTATTTGTCAATACAATAATTTTAATGCTTCTAGGTCATAAATACTTGTACAACCCCCTTAGAATGACACAATTCCTTTGACCCATCTAATGAGAATTAAACTAGCGCGTACCATCCTTCGACCACATCTTCACCTTGGTCTAGGTGGGATAGTGCTCAAGCGCTGGTTTTTCGCAATTAAAAAAAAAATCTCTTATAAGGTTCTTTGAGACATAATTATTCATATGGATTGTTACATGTACTTAAAATATAGGTCATATTAGTATTACCAATCATATAAACGCCATAGCATCAAAGCATCTAAAATTTGGCATACACTGGCAGCAACTATGGAAGTGAAATCTTTGGGCATTACAATAATAATCTATACTAATACCATATTTTAAAGAGGAAACATTTGTATTTTTATATGTATTGAAATAATTCAAAAACTACTGGACCGATTTCAAAATTCTTTCACCATTAAAAAGCTACCTTAGTAACATAGGCTACATTTTTTAATATCTTATAATATCACGCGAATGAAGTCGCCAGCAACAGCTAGTATGTAATAAATTAGATAAATAGTTACCATTACTGAGTACTTTATATAGATTAATAACTATATTTGCTGCATATTAGTCTTTTATAGTATTTTATGTGGGTTTGTTGCATTTCCTGTGTCCACACAAACACAAGTACACATTTCGATTATTTTTCATTATTTTCAAAATGTATAAGTACATTTTAAAAAACAAATGCAACAATACCTTTTTGTGTATGAGTTTTGTCAAACATAAAAGTATACAGAACTAAATAATTGCTATTAAATATTATACATATTCTTAAATCATTAAAACTAAGTCAAAGATTACAATTGAGTCAAATTACATTTATAAACAGATCTCACAAGTTATCAAAAAAAAAAATTAACAGACTTTTTGGTGTATAGTTAATATCATAATTTTGTGCAAGTTATACCCTGACCAGGAATAAAAAACCCTCAACATATTCAATGCCCACATCAGAAAGTGATAAAAAAAGACAAAGTACATTCCGATCAGGATTTTTGAATTCTTGGTTAGGCTAATTACAATTTAAACAATTTCATATTGTGGCACATGTGGTTCATATTCAAATCCATTATAATGAGTAAAACTGAGACTACTCGTTCCTGGTCCTTCAGTAAACGAAGTGAGTTCGTTAAGTAGTGATGTGAACGCTGGTCTTTCATCAGGATCTACCTGCCAACATTGTAAACACAGCTGGAAGAGTTCATCGCTAACATATGACGGTTGAGATGGACGCATACCGCGTAACACTCTTGACGCAACATCCTTATTCACAGTATTAGGATAAGGTGTTGCGCCTATAGTTAACGCTTCCCACATTAAACAGCCAAATGACCAGATATCAGCTTTCGGGTTAAACCTCGTCTGTCGTAACATTTCATGTGACATCCATCTTGTATAATCAGGCGTTTCATGAAGTGGACGAATATGGGACAGTCCAAAACCGGCAACTTTTGCTACTCCACTGTTGCTTATAATAATATTTCTGCAACTCAATTTTTTATGATAAATTTTCTTTGAGTGCAGATACTCCATACCAGAGGCCACATCAACGCACATTTGTATAACTTTGTTCTCAGTTATAAGGCAAAATTTGTTATTCTGCAGATCTCTCTGACGACATTGTAAAAGCATTTCCTTAAATGTTTGCTTATAATCTTGCAAGACAACAAATAAAGTTGTATTCGTTTCACAAATTCCGAGAAGTGATATTACATTTTGATGTTCACTGGATTTTATTAAAACATCTAATTCCTGCAACATAAGACGCTTATCTGTCTTTTCCAGTTCTCTATCTGGTATAACCTGGACTAGACTAGGAGTAAGTGCTCCGTGTTGTTGAACACTACCTTTTGTAAATTTCCCATAACTACCAACTCCAAAAACACAAGAGATATTAATATCAATGAGATTTCTTGGTATATTCCATAGTTTGCGTTTCAAGTTACCATAATAATCCAGTCTTTCATCTTCATCATGTAAAAAACCTGAGTTTTCAATCTCTATACAAGGTTCGCTTAGACTCAATGGCATCGATTGAGAGCCTCTTTGCATTCTAGCCATTTGTATTTTCTTACGTAGAATTATAAGTAGACCTATACCAATCAGTATTAACACAACACCAATAGCAATTGCTGCACCAAGCGCTACTACCAACGGGGAAAATTCTTCAGGTTCATTTATGTTCAGTATAATCTTTTTAGTAGATTCCGCATATCTTACTTTTCTTACATGATTTTTCTCACTAACCACACCTAGTGACACCTCAATATCATTTGTTAGAGGCAGAGGGGCATTATAAAAGCCATTATAAGTACTCCGATCCCCTATTATAAAGTCATTTTTAATATCATCTGTATCTAATTCTGCCGTTATGTAATATGGATATCCTTGTTCATTGGCATATGTATAATTTCCAAGATTTTCAACAATAAAACCTTGTTGATACAACTCTATAGACACTACTATTCTGTACATAGAAACTGGTCCATTGACATTCCTTGCTTCAGGTATTTGTACCACCATTCTGTCGCCACGCCTATCTTTAATAATAATATCTGGTGGACTTGGGTTTGGTGTTCCGATTACTGTTTCAACCTTAATAGTTACATTTGGACCTTCATCTTCATAGTTCATTGCGGCAATACTTATATTATATGTTGTCCCCGGCTGCAAATTTAATAATTCAGAATTCAAAGTAGTATTACTAACTCTCCATTCTAAAGGTATCAAGTTAAAATCTGCAAATGTTTCTATAATTATTGCACGGATAATGTAGCCTGTGATTTTTGAGTAAGCCTGGGGTGGGGTCCAACTGACACGTAGGGTTGTCTCTGTTACATTTACCATGTTGAAAGAGGACGGCGGACCCGGCGCTGTGACATCGGTGTCGTAGACACTGGCGGCATCAGCGCCACCGCACTTTTGCGTAGAATTTTTCGGGCATGGGATATCACATGAATCTGATGGTAGTTCGAACTGCCCAGGCGTATTGCCACAGAAACATGTCGAATCATTACCCAACAGAGAATATTTGTAATATAATTCTTCGCACACTTCCAAACAAACGTCTGCCGACTGACCGCTGTGGGTGTTCAATGCATCGTTAACGTTGAACCTATAACACCCGATATAATCACCGCGCTCTGCTTTTACCAAAGTAAAATAATAAAGGAACACTACGATTACCAGCCACCACTTGCCCATTGTTTATTCTCGATATTGAGTCATACAATGCAGTTTGACATTAACGATTTAACGCCTTTTATATTGAACACTTATATCTTCTATGGAATACTTTATTAACACCTTAAAAGTAGTTATTCTCACTGTCATGGTTACACGTTTATAGTCATTCTTAATATAAAAACAGAAAATCAATCAATAATATTCATAAATCAACAATGCGGAACTGAATTACAGTTTAATACTCAAATATTTGAAACCAAACCCAATTACCGAACCGGACGGCGCGGCTTTGTTTCGGTTATTTTGTATTAGAATTATTGGATTTGATTTTGAGGACTGTGCTTTTTTTACTGATACGGAAATACCAGGAAATACGGAAGTAGAAGTGTGAACGTTATTTTGACATTTAGCATAAAAAGTCACGATCAAAAACACACTTCGTAAATTAAGTTTCGGTTTAGATTTTTGTTACTACATTTCATAAGTTAAACATTCATTTAAAAATACTAACTAATAAATACCTTTTGGAACATGCATTTTATTTTTATTTATAAATGTAATGAAAATTATTACTTCAAATTCCTTTTTCAAAGGATATGCACTCTGTGCCGTCCATAAGTTTTTATTATGTTATCTATGTTCTAAACGTTGTTGATTGGTTGGCGAGTTGTTTGTTTTAACGACATTGACAGTTATTTGAAAGTTGCAAACGGTAGATTGCTGAAATTAAACAACGGACGAGTTAATTCAAAACCTAATAAGAATTATTGTTTTAGTTACCGATAAATACATCAATGCACTGTAAGTATTGATAATAGATTTATTTCACCTCAACAAAATGGATAGGAGTGTAAAAAGTGAAAGGAAAACAAGAAGTATGCGCCTAAAGGAAAACTTTGAAGAAATTCCTAAAAGTTTAATTAAAAAAGGTAATTATGTGCGTAATCCTGAATTAGAAACTGATAATGATATTGACGATGACGTGCCTAAATCAACTCGTAAGCTGAGACGCCATACGCTCAAGGAACAAAACAGGGCAAATTCCGAAGACGATGTACCAGTTAAGAAACAAAAACAATCAAGTAGGTCCAAAAAAAATCATATTGAAACACCAGATAACAAAGACACAAATGATCAGAATAACATTGAAATGCCAGAAGTAAAGCAAAAGGTGAAGAAAAGCAAAAAGAGAAAACAAGAAGTTATGGTTGAAGATCTAGAGAACGTTGAAGAAACAAAGGATGTGCCAAAAACAAAAAAAAAGTCTAAAAAGAGAAAGAATTCAAAACAATCAAATGAACCAATTACTACAATTGTTGATGAAAATAATGAAATGAAAAATGAAGTAGATGTAAAAGAAAACATGCTGAATATAAGCAATGCATCAAATGAGTCTTACCACAGTGCTGCTGGCAGCATTACGAACGAAGAATCAACTAAAGTCAATGGAACGGTCACAGAGTCAGAAACTGCAATCTTGAATATTTCAAGTAAGAAATCAACACCAAAGTCATCTAAAAAATCCAAAATTGTCAAAAAGACGAGTGTTAAAAATGAAACTATCAACTCATTTGAAAATGAACCTTTTAGTGATGATGCCTCGAAAACTTCAGAAAATTTTAATAAAGCCAATGAAAATAACATACCTAAAATGAAGCTCAATGATACATTTGAAAAACGCAATTCTAGTGAAAATAATTGTTCTAAAATCAAATTGAATGATACTTACGAAAAAGAAAATTTGAATGAGAACAATTGTTCTAAAATCAAATTGAATGATACTTGTGAAAAAGAAAATTTGAATAAGAACAATTGTTCTAAAATAAAATTGAACAATACATTTGAAAAGAGAAATTCAAATGAAAATAAATGTTCTAAAATCAAATCGAATGATATAAATAAACCAAACTTGGATGAGAACAATTGTTCTAAAACCAAATTGAATGATACATTTGAAAAGCGCAATTCAAATGAAAATAATAGTTCTGAAATAAAATTGAATGATACTTATGAAAAAGAAAATTTGAATGAGAACAATTGTTCTAAAATTAAATTTAACGAAAAGCGAAATTCAAATTCAAATAACAGTTCTAAAATAAAATTAAATGATACTTATGAAAAAGAAAATTTAAATGAGAACCATCGTTCTAAAATTAAATTTAACGAGAAGCGAAATTCAAATTCAAATAATAGTTCTAAAATAAAATTGAATGATACTTTTGAAAAGCCAAATTCAAATGAAAACAATTGTTCTAAAATAAAGTTTGATACTGTAGACAAAACAAATTTAAATGCTTCTTTTACTATCGAAAATTTCAATAATCAATCTAAAAAGAAACGAAGATCATCCAGCATTTTGTTGTTAGATGCATCTAATTCGATGACAAGCTTAAACAACACCTTTGATAAATCTGACAAACAAAATGATACCAAATCAATAAATGTGACATTCGAAAAAGAAAAACTAAACGGGACATATGACTTAGAAGACAAAAATTCATTAAAACCCAATAATAAAACATTTGACAATACAAACGATTCACATATCAGTATTAACAGCGAGGACTCTAAAACAGAAAATTTAATAAATATTACCGCAGAGTTAGTAGAGAGCAGCAACGACGAAATATCTTTTAGAAACTCACCAGTAATGGGAACTAAAAATTTAGAATTACCGTTAACACCATTCAAACGAGAAGGTACTTATACAAAGGAGAGTCCACCTTACGCTGAGAAATCAAATACACCTGACACAATATCTATAGACTCTGGAAATACAAGAAGTGATACATCATGTAGGACTCCAGATAGACGTAAAACATTACAATCACCAGGTCATACGCCATTCGTAATCAATAAAGAGAATAAAACAGTTTTTAACGTAACACGTTCTATAGAGAAATCTTTACGAAGGTCTTCATCTATGGAGCCAGCGCCCCGGGCAACCAAGGTGATGTTCTGCAGCCCCACTAACCAGGCCACCGTCAGCTCACAGATCAAACGGAAGGTGATTAAATCAAACATGAAAGGATCAAACAAAAGTTTTATTTTTGATAGCAGCAGTAAGTATTTTTATTTCTTAATAAATACTTTTCAATATAAAATACTAAGGAAAATCTACCCAAGTATTATTTCTGCATTTTATCTGAATAAAACAAAATCATCATGTAATTAGTTCTATTTTCTTATATGTATTATTTCCATGTTTTGTATGCTAAATCCAGGTAACTGAGGTTCCCACATTCTAGGGACTAGTGTAGATAACTCAAAAGCTTAATCAGTTCTGAAAGCATTATGTTAAGGATATAAAAAAGTATTTATTACTATCTCCCCCTTGATTATCAACCTGCACCCTAACAACTTAGAATAGAAAATAAAATTTTAAATGGATTGTACTTAAAATGGTTACAATATTTGTAGTGTCCGAACTCAACCGTTCTGGTCGTAAGCGATCGTACACGCAGAATGATGCGGAGGAGGTGCGCAGCAAGAGATCTAAACTAGAGGATGAGAAGAAGTCGGTTGATAGACTGTCACGTCCCAGGACATTGAGTGCTACAGGTAAAATAAAATACATTAGTTGAAAAAATCAATTATTTAAAAAAATATTAACAATGGAACATTGCTCTCTTTGTCCTCAATGATTTTATTTGATTTGTAAATTAGATTTGATATCCAAATTTTATTTTTAATCTGATTGAAGCATGGTAGATTTCTCTTTTCTTTTGTGTTTGAAAATAAATACTGTTGAGTCTAGTTTAAAAATGTTTAATAATTAAAAGTCAAACTTTATATATTTATTTGTTTATGCAAAGTTAGTTACAGCACAAAGTAAACATTTAAAAAAAAAAACCAGTTTTTTGTAATTTTCTTTCGTCTTCTATTTTTTCGATAATTCCACGTGTGACGTTTTAACCAGTATTTTATTAATGTTATTACAAATTTTTTACAGTGAAAACTTCAGAACCAGCAACACCATCAAAGAAACCTGCAAAAACAAAGCCGGAGAACAAAGTAACCCGGACTAAACTACCAAACTTCACTGCGTTACATCAGAAGCAGTTTGACAAGATGGAGTCCCTGGACCAGTGCCAGGAGAGGAAGGCGAAGCGCGCGAAGCAACTGCTCACTCCCACTGGAACTGTCAATATGCTGGAGAGAACAAGTCCTAAAGGTAATAAAATAAATTATTTACACTTACAAAAGGAATCAGCAGAGAATAACATTTGACAGTGGTAGAGCCCGCTTTAACATCTTCGCACGAATGGGTCGGCTCGCCCGGTGTAATACCACGACCACACAGAAAACAGGCGTGAAGTGGAAGCAATTCCGCGTTTCGTCTGACGAGTGTGGTGCCGGAGGCCTAATTTTAGTCCCTTTCCCTTTCCACCCTGTTCTTAAGAGGAAAGGATAGGAAGGAAAATTGGACTTGACGGAGGAGGAGACGCATAGGAAGGGTAAATATCATCTTTATGTGCGTCTCCTTCTCCGTCGATTAAGGGGAGGCAACGCATTTGCAATTGCGGATGTTTATGGGCTGTGGGCCCTCTCCATTTCGGTGGATTCAGGTGGCCGCTTGCTCGTTTGCCACCTTATATAAAAAAAAATAATAAGAATCTATGGCGGGACAAATATACTAAAATCGTACTAATATTATGAACAAGCTTTTACCCGCGACTCAGTACGCGTGAAAAAAAAAACAAGTATACAGATACAATGTTCTACATCTATGCCTTTCATCGAGATCCGTTTAACAGTTTAGGCTACATACTAACAAACATCCATCCATCTAAACTTTTACATTTATAGTAATAGTAAGATGTGAAATTTTAGATGGATGGATGTTTGTAACCTAAACTGCTAAACGTATCTAGATAAAATTTTTCAAAGATGGAAGAAAAGTCTTAAAGCAACATATTCTCAGCAATATATTACTTTAAATTGTCTACTTAATGGCTTACATAATCGTGTTTTAGATAAGATATACATATCTATCATAAACCATATCATGAATAATATTGTTAAAGATATTTTTAATAGCTCAAAACGTTGTTATCGATATCAATAAAAATAAAATGTAAAAAAAGGAAATTTAAAAAATTATTGTGAATTTTTTTTACAGCCAATAGATGGCGTTGTATTAAATTTTTTATCAAATGCCACCTTTGTAATGTTTTGGACGTATTAGCTGTGGACCGCGACACTATACGCGCGAAATAAAAAAGCTTAAATTAAAAAAAAATTAAGTTTAATTAAGATAAATTAAAAAAGCCTTTGCGTTCTAATCCAGACTATTTCTAATTTTCGCTACAAAACATTTTTTAAATTAGGAGATATGATACTCTCCAATTTATATTAGTAAGAAGTAAGATAGATATCTCTAAATTGTAATATTAGTAAGAAGTAAGGTATTATGGAGGTTTTAACAATTTTTTTCTACTTCAATTTAGCCTAACAATTTTATATTTTTTGTTTCTAGAAAAAGACACAGACTCACTTTCAAATGCTACAAAAGAGAAGCCAAAACCGAGCACACCTTCAAGAAAATCCAAAACTTTAAATCTTACATCATTAAACCCTGGATACACGAGATTTGGATTCAAATTGAACACAAGCGTGAATCCATTCAGTGTACCCAGTAAAGAAGAAGGTAAAGCGAACGAGAGTAAACTTCTTCCTTCTAGAACGGGCGCTACTTCTTCTAGAAAGGAAGCAGCGAAGCAGACGGTGATGAGGGAGAAATCTTTCACAGAACGGAACAGCGCTAAGAGGAATGACAGCAGAACTTTTATTAAGGGAGTCAGAACTAACAGGAGGTTCCAATTGCAGATGCAAATGAGAAATGTCAATATGAACTGAAAATATTAAACTGTTCAGTTTTCAGGATATAATGCTAACTTAGAATTCTAAGTTCATTTACTTAGATATGAAATCTTTGAGTTTTTGGTACTAATTAAAGTGGAGAATGAAGTTAATACGAACTCGGTTATAGAAACCGTATAATCGAATGGAATTTGAAATTAAAATAAATGCATTTGTTTTAATTTCAAAACAATTTTAAATTTTTTAACGCTGTTTGTGAAAATTGTTCAAATACCATAACTTATAGAGAAAATGATTGACATTTTCTTTATTGATTCTGTCTTTTGCCGCCAAATTGATATTAAAAAATAGATAATATTCATTTTTGACTTTTTTATTTTTTTTACTAAATTAAGCGTTTTATTATGTTTTTTAATGTAAGATTTATTGATCCGTAAAAGTTTGTCTTTTAAAAAAAAAAAACTTTGTATTGGTATTCTTTTATTGTAGATTTGCTTTTAGTAATAATTGAAATTTTGTAAAAATCTAATAAAAAGTGAATTTTGAGTTTTGTGTTTACATTTTAATGGCTCGTTTTTTTTTTTTTGTTGTCGCGGGGAATGCATTTTTTTGCAATTTTAATGGCTCATTAACCAAATAATGTAGATTTACTATTTCTTATTTTTGTTAAAGCTACGGATTTTATGTCACTAGCATAACATAGCATTTTTTCTTTTTTTTATATTGTCCAAAAATGTCTAATAAAATTAACAAACAAGACGAATATAAAGCTGTTAAAATTTTGATGCTGTAGCTATTAAAATTATGTTGTTCAATATTTAAACTGACATTAGGAATTAAAAAAATGGTAACAAACTTTGTTGCTATGTTTTAGTTTAGGACAAGCATGTGTTTTAACGATTAAACTGTTTTTGTACAATTTTTGTTTTATTTTATAAACTGGTTTCAACTATAACTTCTCACTAAAACAACGAAATGCAAACTGCGAATTTATTGTACATCAATATTTTTTGTATGGCGAGAATTATATATTCTTAAACATGTCATGGAAAACAAAACTTTACGTTAAATATTCGCAATTATTAAAAAAAAAATCTGCAAACACTAATACTCTAAACAAATGTAACTTGCACTCGCAATGAAAGAGAAAGTTCGACCGCCAAAAAGTCAAGGCTTTCACGTAACGACCTTGGGCGCACGAAACTACTTCCACGTCTAAGTATCGGTTTTCCGGTAGTTCATTATCTAGTAACAACTTAGTAACTTGATACTAACTAACTTGCAATGTCTGCATTTTCAAACAAAAAAATGCCATCTACATTATTGACGTTATATCTCTCAGAGACGATTAAATTTTTATGTACGTATTGTTTAATATATATAAATACGCGGATGTTTAATGCTTCTTTTTCGAAAAAAAAAGAAACAATAACTCGCAAAATTCACATAGCACGGAAACATAAAGTCGCGGGAAATCTTTATAAAACAAGGTCTTTTATTTGCTGGCTTTATTTCCTCGAGCGTTATTACATTTAAAAAAACATTAAGACAGGACAAGATTTTTTTTAACATTTATAGAGCCCTAAAACGCCTTAGAAACGAAGCAACAAGCATTATAAATGCGAAACTTTAGATGGATGAATGTTTGTTAGATTTTGTAGCCTAAACGGCTGAGGGATCTGGATGAAATTTGGCATAAATGTAGAAGACAGTTTGGAAGAACAAATATATATATATAGGCTACTTGCTTTTTTTATTTCGCACGGACGGAGCTGCGTGCGAAAGCTAGTATTAGATAAATATTCTATGCAAAAATCGTGCTCCAGGTTGGACCAAACAATAGAGTTGGCAAGCTATAGTCGACTGCGCGGGCGCTAGGTCTTACGTCTAAGAAACGGGGTAAAGGAAACAGCTAAATTGACTACAATCATATTTATTAATATCTCAACATAGAAGCGCAGCATGGTAATGACACTCCGGACTCTCTATACCACACTTAAATAACATTCAACACAATACAAACATTACTGAAAGTGTCCTTTTTCATTTAAATTCACTTAACATAAATACATTGGTAAAGTTTAAAATTATTTAATAATGTGGCCATAAACAACAAAGATTTAACAATCGTGATAGATTTGAACGCCAATAACAAAATTGTTTCATCAAATCGAAACGTGCAATGTTAACTGCCAGTTTTTAGCGAAACTTCAATAACAAAGCAAATGCGATGGCACTAATGTGCAAAAATTTAATATAAAAATAGTAAATCTCTTGTTAATTTAATAGCGGCATACTACCCGTAGTTTTTTTATTATAGAATAATCGTTCTTTTAAGCGGAAAAGTATAAAAAATGACCACTTTATTAAATATAGTTACACTGCCACTTGTGCTCAAAAACAATATCACATTTACTTTAACAAATGTTTCCAGTTGTACTATATGCATTTCTATAGGAAATTTTACAATAATTACTTCAAGAAAATAAATATCTCACTCTTATGGAAATGCAGATGATAAGCTCGCGTACTAACTTTTTAACTTTTTCTAAGAGAATTTCTATACAGGTGGCAGAAAATGTAGCACCTACGGCTATCAACACGAAAAAAAATGTCCGTAATCTCGTTTCCACTGTATGAAAACTGAATTTTTTTTTCTCATATTTTTCGAATTTTTCGACAGTGGCAACATACTGTAAACGACATACGGACAGTCAAAATAATACGTCACAAAATAATACAATAACTTAATTTAGCAAACAAAAGAATCCACAAACATTTTTTTTAAATAGATTTGACATTTCACAAAATAAAAAATGCTACAACCTCATAAACACGACATTAAATAATTTTTGAAACCTGTTTTACTGTTTTAAAATACAAATATTTACACACAAACTAAAATTCTATCTAAATAGTACAAAGTGAAACATAAAATTAATAATTATTGGTTCGAACGTTTATGCAACATAACATGCGTATTATTGTTTCTCTTCGTATGACGTAAAAAAGCGCGGCAAAATTGAAAACATTGCCAGACTACACACGGAGAAAATTCTATTATTTTACGATTCATATTAAGTATAACATAAATGCCCCAAAATTGTTGGAAATAGAATATTCTAACACAGCTTGCAATTTTACTAACGCACAAGAGACTGGAAACCTTACTTTGTACTATACGTAATTACAAGAGAGTTAACTATAACTAAACAGTGTTAACTGTAAGAAATTTTATTACAGCGACCTATTATTTTAATCTTTTATGATTCTACGAAATTCCATTTAATTCTACGAAAGAGTGTGTAGGTCTAAATGTTCCTATAAATTGAATCAGAAAAGAAAAATAAAAAAAAAAACAATAGATATATGGTTATAGTTATTACAAATTTTAATTGACCTTAAACATACGATCTGTTATTACAATGTTTTTAGAATATTTTTTATTTACTACTTTAGTCTAGGTTTGCTAATTTTTTTGGCCTTTTACACAGAAAAATATAATAGTTTTTTTAAGCTGTTCCTATGTTAGATTTTAATTAATTTATCTGTACATTCAAGCTTAAGATAGTGAAATCAAAGAATATTTAAAATAATATAAAGATAGATATGTTGCATTTAAAATTTATTACAAAAAATATTTTACTGCTTAAATTTATAACAAAATAATCTTACACAATTCTCTCACTTTATTACAATTTAGTTAAATTAATACACTTTTAGGCACCTAACCAGAAAGTAAGTTTTTTTTTTTAATTTATAAGAGAAACATTTATTTAAAATTATATACTACGTCCCCTTAAATCAACAATAATATTTCAAACAACACAAATAAAATGTGAATTATCAACACTTATCGGCTACAGGGAACAGCAGCGAAAAAACGTTCATATTTACAAAGATTTATTATTTTACAAAATAATACAAAAAACCATTATTCAATTAATTTTAAAACGCACATTTTAAAAGTGTAATGGATGTCATAAACAAGTGACGAATTTGAGCGGGATTTTTCAACAGATATCTTAATAACACAGATAAAACAAAAAAATGATAATCTGTCAACATTTCAATTTCCCTTTGCTTTGCATTTGTTGCAAAAGACAATTCTCTACTTTTCTACTTAAAACTTACTGGCTTTAAAACAGTCGCCAATTTAACGATTAAAATTAAAAACTGAGCGAGAAGGAAAAATGTTAGTAAATAGTTATAGTTAGTTAATCTTTTAAACCGATTTTGTACAATAAATTCGAGAGATTTGTTTCTTTCGTCATTTTCAAAATTTAAATTTAATTTTTGGAGCAAAAGTACGGGAATTCTTTACAAATGCTATGTGATTATATTCTATTTTTGTTATTTTTATCTAAGAACTAAGAAAATCTATAATATCTTTTGCCGCCAAGTTTACTTTTGTCGTAATTCAATCTATAAAATGTTTTAGAAGCCTTTATTTTATCCCTACAGCTTTTTATTCAATATACCACTTAATTTCCTTACTAACTGCTGCATTTAAAATTAGTTTATGGTTATTTAAACCGGCCCTTAGTGTAGATTTTTCTTAAATCTACATTAATTCCCTTAGTAAGGGAGCTTGCGTGACCATCAAACGACTCTGAGTGAGGCACTAAATCTTAAAGATTTACTTTGTACATGAAATTTTATGAAAGTTGATACATTAGAGCATATTGGACTTTACATCACACAATATATTTATACTTGGTTACTGTTCAGATTTTCACCAAAACCCACTTTTTTTTTCACGTAAAAGACCTTGTATGTAGATGTGTTTTTTTGTAAATACAATCTCTATGAACTGTTTAAAAGTAAAAGATTAGCCCATAGACTAAAGCCTACAGTATAAAAATGTTCTTATCTAATGAACGCCAATCCATAAAAATCTTTAAACCAATGTCAAATAAGAGGCAAAGTTGTTTGTGTTTAAACTAATACCTAACCTGTTATACATAACACTGGAAAAATGTAATATAGATAACTCAAAAACCATTTTTTGTAATGATAATGTAACAGACAACGCAGGCATATTTAAAACATAATTTATGAACTAGTATTTTTCTAAATTGAATATTGCAATTCATTTGATTGATAAAAAATATAGAGACGAGAAGAAACATTTGTTTTACGCACGATGTAAATCCCAGTGCAATCTATTCATTGACGTCATCTGGCAAATACCATAGACGAAATAAATGTATAATGCATAATGGCGCGGACTTGACCGATTCAAAATGGCCTCCACTCTCCAGAACTACTTTACTAAATAATTCGACTGGAACAAAGCCATTTAACATTATTAGTTTGCAGAATATAGCTATGTTTAATATTAC